TTTCAAAGAGGAGGCCCAATCACACCTTCGAACGAGAATGTATTCAGAGGCCTTTGATTCTTACACGCATGTAACTATGTCTATCATTATGCATATATTATTAATTATAGTTTACATATATTATTAATGAAAGTATCATCATTATTTTTGTTATGATTAACCTGTTACATGGCTGTTACTGAGGGACGATGGATGAATTATTGCAATTACTGAAGCATATATAATAACCACAAAATACAAACATCGATACATTTCTAATCAATATTTATGTTAATTTATTTACAAGTATGCAATAACATTATTCTGTCCAGCTTACCGAGTATTTTCAAACTTTCACTTTTCGGATTTGGACAACAGAAATCATACAATTTATTTATTCCAACAAATGGTTTACTTATTGACAATGTGTGATATATGAAATTATTTGGTAGTAGTATACTGCGTTCCTGATAACCAGACAAGTACTTTAGACATGTGTTTCTTTTCATAATTATACAAGAACATGTAATTTAAAAAAAAAAAACAGAAAATACATGTTTTTATTAAAATATTAATATTCTATTCCATGGTAAATTAATTGCAAGCAATATTATTCTCGAAAAGAAGCGCGTATTTAAAAAGTTGAATGATTCATGCACATTTCACACAATTTATACGTTATATGTCATACAATTTATTTACTCATATATATACATTTATATGTAATTTATACATATATATATATGTCATGTTTATAATATTAATATTTATTGCACTCCCATATATATTATTAAAATTATTATCATTTCTTCACATTGTAGTGTTATGGAAAAAGTGCATACGCATTGTATCAATATAGGGATTAGAATTCATAAGAAAAAATAATTGAAAAAAAGAAATTTTTGCCATAAATTAAACACGTTTTATAGTAATCTACAATCTATCTAAAGGCCAACATATTTGAATAAATGAAATATACGTGAATAAAAATATAAATTTAATTTTTAAATCAGTGATCCCTGTGATCTCCTAATGTAGTCATATCATTAGAGTGCTACTATTGGGTAGTTACTCAGCAAGTGTATTCATGTCATTATATCACTTATGTCCAAATTTACTTGATGTATTTATGTAATACAGTTGTAAATGTCATAAAGAAATAAAAAAAAAATCAGTGATACGGACATCACAAACGATTTATATAAAGTCCGAATAGTCCTAAATATAAAGAAAATCGTGTATTTCAATGTTTCTTCAGAATATATTTAAATCCCAAAAGGTGTTTTTGTTTTTCTTCGCTTTTCTACAATTTTTTCTCACTGTTTCACTGTCGATTGTTGACTGAACTAAAATCGATCATTTAGGCCATATAGCTAAACATTGACTAAGATAATTTCTGTTAAATCACTGTCGTAAATATTAAAATAATAAATATTAATAAAAAAATAGTTCCATTACAATTATGTGTTCTATTTACAAAAAATTATATCAATGATATATATACGACAATGGAAAATGGCAGGTGTCAAAATAAGTGTAAGTTTTCACGGTTGCTAGGACGACAAGAGTTCTGATTTGCCTAAAAGGTTTTTTATTTTTTCACAGGGAAACATTTTACAGGTAAGGAAATATTATTTTTCTATTAACTATTCAATTGTATTCAATTCCTCTTAGCAAATACAAAATGAATGTAAGGTTTGTTTATATTGCTTGATTTTAGTAATAGTTAAAACATCATTATTTCGTCAACAATTTTTTATGAAAAACTATATTTTTTATTTTAAAATATTCAACATTTATTACAACGGGTATTATTTTATTTTTTAAATTAAAAAGTAGTTTTATAAACTATAAGTTATAATTATAAATTATACCATATTGATTTATTAATAATATTAATAATTAGTAACGTGCTTTGTTGAATAGTCATTAGTTAATAAGATAAATAAATAAAATAAAATCAACAAAGAATTATTGATAGTTACAGTTATTGATCAAACTTACTAGTGAATCAAAGATCATTTATTATTATTTTAAAATAAGATATGAATGTAGTAAATTATTCAAATATTTGGGATTGGTACCATGTAAATTATTCAATTAGAAAAATCAATAATTTAATTTAAGTGTTAATGAATTAATAAAGAAAGAATATCGTATCAGGCGCTACCTAGTAGTAGGTTTTGAAACTGAACTAGTTCTGATAGCTAATGCTAGATAGCACATAGGTTCAAAAGAATCAAACTGCGTTAAAAAGACTATGTTGCTTATAAACATTTATTAAATATATTATTTTTATTATATTTAATCAATATATGATTTAGTTTGTACACTTTTAATCTCACAATCTTTTATTTCACAATTAAATAATTTTTTTATGGATTCAAGAATTATTTATATTTTTTTTATCAATACTGTACCCCGGAGGTAAAAGTCATCATGTCCATTTTTTTTATTAAATAATTTTGTGACTAAGAAAAAAATGTTAATAGCTCAAAGTAATGGATAACTGGCTCCCTGAACAAATACAGAAATGTGACAGGGTGTAATTTACCTCCGGAATACAGATTTATAAACTAAGAAACTAATTATAATACCTAGAACAAATACAAAAATGGACATGGTATTCTTTACCTCCAAGGTATAGATATAATAACCGAATATTTTATGTTATAAGTTTCTAATGGCTATTTTTATTTTTATTTACCTATTTTTATCTTCACGTATATCTTGTTCACGTATTTTATTCTTCAATGTTTATTTTATGTATAATCTCCTTAAAATTGTAAGTTAACTTAATTGTTTTTTATAATACAATTCTCAAACAAATTTAAGCAATATGCTTAAAAAAATTAGCTCTATTTCTTATATATATGCCATAAAAAAAAATAATCTTATTTTCATGTAAAAAGTATCGTAGCTTTGGTTCTATTTTTTTTTTCCTTTTTATCATTTTTAGTTTATGTTGTTTTCTTTAGTTTTTATAGAAAAAAAAGTATAGCATAGATAAAATGTAAACATAACATTCATGCATATAATATGCGAATTCGCATGGTGTATGTAAACTAAACTCCTTCTGCAAGGGTTACTAAGCAGGAGAAAAACCAAAAAAAAATATTAATAGTGAAAATTAATATCAGCCATAATTGAAAAAAAGTATAATAATATTCTAATAATATTAAGTATAAAATATATAATAATAAGGGATTGTGAATTTCACCTTAAATTGTAAAGTATGGTTGGTGTTGAAAATTAATAAATTAAGCAGTGTTTTTTTTGCTTAAACGTTCATACTACGATTATCTTATGATCAAAATATAAAATTATGTCTGTTAAATATCGTTTTGTCAATTTTCAAAAATAGTATCCTGTATGGCGACACAATTTCTAAAGTGACTTTTATTCTAATAATAATAATTCTTATCATTACTATACATATTTACTTATGTGTCAGTGTTTACAATACTATAATGTACAGTTATAGACAGCAATTAATATAATTTTACCAATATACTTACTCAGTTCTACAATAAAGAACAGATAAAGGTGAAATTAATTGTTTAATAATTACAATGACGCTCATTTAAAACCTGGTTTAAGGGAATGAATAAGAAAATTAAAATAAACTAATAATGTAAAATATTAGTTGGCCCGTGCGAATAATTCGTATTGCATATTGGTCAGTGCACAACTAGCGACATAATATGGATCATGGGAGGTATATTTTTTTCCTGTTAATTATCATTCAAAATAATAAACCGATACATGAGTAAAAATTATAATAATTGTATCTTTGCTAATAATGGTCTAATTAATTTTTTTTTTTGTCATTTTGTAGAGAATACATAAACCTTTCAAATTGTCATATTTATATTCAAGCATAAATTATATATTTATTAAATTATGCGCAAATAATTTTAATTAATTTTTAATTTTTTCCTGATTTTTCAGAGAATCTTCTTATTTTTTTGGCATTGAAGGGAAAGATAATCTTCAAAATGATTTCTCAATAATTAGATTTCTTAAAGATCTAACGTTGATTCACCATAACAGTTGACCTATTTATAATCTCTTTATTACTTCCATAGTTCGTTATTTTTAACGAGTTGATTTTCTAAGTATATTTTCTTCTAATGATATAAAAAAAAAAATCTTTCAAGGAAATATACATCCTCCAAATTTAATCCATTTATCTATATATGATGAGCGACTTTCATTTTCCATTTACCTCATTTATATTTTTCCTTTACAAATATCACTCAATATCATTAATGAGTTTTATGGTATTTCATGATATTTTATTTCGGGTCTTTTACAAACAGAAACACCTACTGGAAGAATGCCTGCAATTTGGAAACAACAGAAAAAAAAATAGGTCTATTAAAACCACCAAACGAAATTCTACAATGAAGTGGAGAGCGAGTTTCTACTACGTTTAATTTTTTAAAGCTCACAAAGTATAAATTATAGTAAAATGCCTATAACGCTTTCAGTTCGTTTTTATACGATAAAATTATTCCATTTAATTATTTTTAACAATGAAAATTCTAGAAAAAACACATACGTGGTGCCTTCCACTTAACGATTAATCCATAAATGTACCCTCATATAAAAGGTTCGGGATTTCTGCTTTACACAGTTCAGGAGTCAAACTAAATAATTTTAATAGATTTTAAGAATAAATAAAAAGTAACAAAGTATGTGCAAGTAAATAATGTCTAATTATTATGTATAAGATAATATGAACCAAAAGAGTGAACAAATGACTACAATACGTGTTTAATTTATGGCAAAAATTTCTTTTTTTTTAAATTATTTTTTTTATGAATTCTAATCCCTATATTGATGCAACGTGTATACACTTTTTCCACAAGACTACAATGTAAACAAAGGATATTTAATAATTATAATAATATGGATTGATGGGAGTGCAATAAATATTAATATTATAAGCATATTTACTGCATGATAATATGATAATGCATCGTATGTATAATATCCATAAATGATAACAGAGGTTTCAGTTTCCCCACCCAATACTCCAGAATGTCTTTGGCCAACCTCGCTCGGGTCGCCCGAGACACGGAACTGATTCAGAGCTACCTCCGCGTGGCCGACGAACCGGAGCAGCAACCTCCTCCGGAGCCCAAGCAGAGGAAGGATTCGGTTGCTACCAGGCCCAAGGAGTATCAGGTAAGCCAGTACCATATTTCGTTGTATATTTTCATTTAATATTATTACCTCTAGGAATGTTACCATCAGAACTTAAGAAATGCAAATGTAATTTCATACAGTTTTGAATTAAGTTAATGCGAAATCTTGTTAGTTCGTTCATTTTACTCCAAAAATATCGTAACACCCTTAATAGTCAAATGAAAAGGTTAACAGAATGGTGGAGTTTTGGCCACAAGTAAAGAGATCAAGGGAAACGTTTCAAATGAGTTAAAAATGTTTGTAAAACATATTTTTATTTTATATTACTTATTATACTATTTTATATAAACATATTATTATAAAACAATCATATTTTTTTGGAATCAGCTCTTGAATCTCTCATGAAGTCTCGGAAGAAAAAAAAATTAACTTTTTCTTTTATTATCGTCTACATAGCCATTTCTGGCAGACGAGAGGCTTGAAATAGAGGTTGTATCTGCTCCATAGGTGCGGAACATTTTTATTATTAACAACCACAGTGAGGTTAGGCATTACTAATAGAGGCCGTAGTAAGATTAGGCAGTGCCATTGGAGGCCGCAATAATTTGTTATATTTACCGGTTCTATTTTATGTAAAAATAAATATACACACCCACCTACATAGATCTTAATTCTGTTAATTTACAAATTTTCATTACTTCAATAATTAAATATTAATTAATTCTAGCACAGCATTAATAAATATAACGCAAAAACGTTTGAAGGCCGCAGTTCCCCACCTATGCCCTATTCTAACCAGAGTGGAAGGGTCAGTGTACATTCCACGGTTAGGCCATGAAATATATTTGACATCGCTTCAATACGTTCGGCCACCAGGTTCAACGCTCAGAGAAGACCAACAGTCACTTTTCTTGGACGCAGTTAGAATAGTCCGAAAAGTTTTAGGTACTTAAAAAAATCAATATCTAAATACCGTATTTTTCACCTCATTTTCATATCCCACAATACCGAAAAAAAATCGGAAATAATTAAAATTCTATTAACATTTTATAAACTTGGATTTAGGTAGGAGCTTCAGTTATAATTATAGTAAAATTGTTTATTTATCTCTTGATTCTTCTATTACCAAACTGAAACCTCATCATCATTGAGAAAATTTCAGGTATAGATAAAACAATATGTCATATTGCAATTGTGATATCAAAACAGATTTTAAAATAAAAATAATCTTTAACTGTTGCATATATTTCGCAAAATCAATGATTATTTTAATAGTAATTTAAAAATACATAAAATTAAATAGAGTAGCTTTTGGAACGAATGAAATTTAAATACAGAAAAAATTATACGATTCGGGTTAAAAAAGTTATTAAGGTTTTCACAAAACATCAAGATCACACACAGGCCTCACTAACTCTACAATATCACTTACTTAAATTACAAGATTGGTTCACACTATGGAAAATTCGACTTAATCATGACAAATCCAAACATACAACATTTACTCTTCGAAAAAACACCGGCCCTCCAGTTTATATTGACAACAATAAATTCCTCAAACGGACACGGTACTTTACCTTGGACTCACCTTCGACAGAAGGATGACATGGGGTCCGCATGTTAAAATGAAACGTATGACACTTAACAAACGACTCAAACTACTTTACTCTCTTTTTTCTAAATCTTCAAAATTAATGCTAAAACAGAAACTGAATACATATACATACTTACTTAAACCCGTATGGACGTATTCATCACAAATATACGGTATCGCTAAAAAGACCCACCTACAAAAACTTCAAACGTTCCAATCAAAACTATTGCAACACATAACAAAAGCACCATGGTATGTGACTAACAAAATTCTACATACTGTCCTCCTTTTTCCAACAGTTGACCAACATATAACATCCCTTTATCAACGATTTTACACAAATTTAAATGTACATAATAACAGACTTATAAGAGACATGGCCACAGCTGAAATACCTCAGAACATGAGGAGACTAAAAAGGCGTTGGATGAGGGATCTCCTTCCTTAGACAACCTAAGTAATTGGAACAAGTTAGGGAAGAGGTACTGCTGAGTAATTTCCTTCCCCATGCCTGTCATATCAATATATCATGCATCGCCATCACATTTGCTGATTGTCAACAATAAGTTGAAGACGCAAATATATTTTTGATAGACAAAAAAAAAGAAAAAAAGGGTTCTCGTAAGCAAATTAATTTTTTTACTTGTAATAATGTTACAATATAATAAATTTAATTTTCATTCAAATAAACAGGTTGACAAAGTTTCTGATATTCCTTGAAAAAAATTAGAACAGTAATTTTATAAATTTTCATCAAAATAGATATCGATTCTTAAAAAGAAAAATGTTTGTTTTTTTGAACTAGGCATAAAATATAACACACTTATTAAGAAAAAAAATAAATAGCAAACGTATGAGAAAACTATTTAATAAATGCAATGCATGGAATATTTAAGTTGCGATTTGAATTTTTTTTAGTATCAGATTTTATTTATTTATTTTTTTAAAATTAAGTATATTATTTTTTTAGAATTAACGACGCATTAAATGTTTCCTTTTTCTCCCAATAGGAGAACTTATTTTTCATTAGGCATTAGTTTTTTTAGTTTTTTACTTTTATAAAATAAAAAACCTTCCCTCTGCAATGCTGGAGATGAAAGTGAAGAGGCTTATGAATTGTTTCATAAGATTCATCTTTAGGATTCCCAGGCTTTCTCGTCTTTCCTGCTAGTACACTGAGCTGAAGTGGCTCTATCCTACTTCCCGAAGGCAATTTATCCTTGGCGTTTTCCTTTTCCAAGTCCTCAGAACCAAAAATACTCTCTCCATACATTCTAGAACTCCCAACTCTATGTTTCTCTATTCATCTCCTACTAGATCTCAATATATTTATCTACGTTCCCTCTTCCATAAAAACTTTTCAGCAAATATTTCTTCATTCGTGCTACCTCGTTTTGGAATTTCCGCATATCTCCATAAGTCAAGTGTCGCCCACTAATTCTTCAAATGTTATAGTGCCCTCCATCAGTTTCCACTGGTTTCAAATAATAGTGACGCGGCTGAGAGAGAAGCCCTGGGATCTCCTTGAGTCCTGCCTTGGCTTCCACGTCGGAGAATAAGGCATGACTCAGAGTCCCCTGGGTGAATGTAAATATTGTACATAGGTGTGAATGTGATTTATTTACTTTAATTTCATCTAGCTTTTATCGATTATTTCATTATTTTTTTTTTTGTACACAGGCATACCAATTTACTTATTTTATTTTTTTTTATATTTCTTTCTCTTTATTATTGATATTAATTGTATGTACATATTGTGTGAATGAATCATGTAGCCTTAATATTAATGCCCATCAATGTGGCAGAATGTATTAATATTCAATAAAGAAAGATTAAAAAAAAAAAATTCTTCAAAACAACTCCTATTCCGCCATCTACTTCATATTTAAACTACCACAACTATGTTAGAGTTATTTGTTTTTGTAATTATAATTGGGATACTAGTTGTTAATTAAGAAGAAACGTTTGTAGTTATTTTTACAAGACTAATGTAAATAATTTCTGAACGTTGCTATCGTTCTTACGGAATTTTAGTCTCAGAATAAAATTATTTTTTTCGTTTTAATCATTTTTACCAAAACGAACATGTCAACAGTAATGAGTTTCGATAATAAATAAGTATAAAATATAAATAAATAACAAATCCATATTACTTGGAAAAACGTACGAAATAGAGCATTCCACCTGTAAATAAGAATTTTTTTTCCAAATTTGCTGGACTTGGAAGGTACAGTTTCTTCTTCTTTGTCTTCCTCTTCATGCCATTACTAGCGTCGAGGAGCCTCAATCCAATGCAGCCATGCCTCTCGGTCCCTACTAAGCCGATTCATTCCCTGGAGGGTTTCGCCTCTCTTCTCTCCAATACGCTGCATATACCACTGGCAGGGAATTATGAGGCGGCCCCTTGGCCTCCTCCCAGTGGGTCGAGTTTCCAGAATCTTTCGCGGATCTCTCTCCTCCTCCATCCGATAAACGTGGCCAAACCACTTCAACTGTCTGTTTTCCAGTAATGTCCTTAGCTACGCCACCTCCAGGTCCTCTCTTATGCGCTCATTTCTGATGCGGTCTCTCCTGATCTTTCCCGCAGCTCTCCGCAGAAACTTCATCTCGGCTGCTGTCACACGGCTAACCTGCTTGTCCAGCATAATCCAGCTTTCGCTTCCATACGTGAGGGATGGGAGGTATACCGACTTGTATATGTGGCTTTTTGTTTCCTTGCCAACTTCCCTGTGCCCTACTATAGTGTTGCTGATAGGGAAATAGACCTGGTTGGCGTTGGATATCCTATTCGCTACTTCTGGGCCAATCTTCTCCGTGTTGCTGATAATTGTACCCAAATAGATGAATTCCTGCACAACTTCAAGTACCTCCCCGTTACAGATCAGCTGGACGTTCTCTGATTCATCTATTGATATGACTAGGACTTTGCTTTTGTAGCTATTGATAACCATACCTTTGCGGAGTTCTTCCTGCCATTCTACAAGGGCCTGCAGCTTTTCTTTCGTGTCCGCAATTAGAAAGATGTCATCGGCATATATTTGGCTACAGGTATAGTACAGTACTAAGGTACAGTTTGGAATGAAATAAACTTACAATCTTGGCATATTCTGGATCAAAATAAAATAATGTTTTAGGTGTAGGAAATAAACTTCATTTTTTTATATTTGGATTATGTTTAGAAAAAAAAAATTGCACTGTTGGATTAATTCCTCTTTTTACATGAGAACCAATAAATTTCGATTTCCAAAAAAATCTATTAGGATTCTCTTTAGAAATAGGCGATTTACTAGTTATGAATAACACGATGTCTTTATCGCTTGTTTTTATCGCTCAGTTCTCATCATCACGAGAAAACTGTAGAACTGATTTTTATTTTTTTACTGAGAAGCTTTTAAAGGTTTTAAACTGTATCAAACTGTGATGAGATTCAATTAAATATAATTGG